GAAGAAGAAAAATAATGTATCAAAAAAATGTATACGAAGAAGAATTGATAGACCAGAGTAGATCGTAAAGAAGAAGGTGGAGAAATGATGGACAGAAATAAATCGTCAATAAAAAGAAGAAAAAGACGAAGAAGAATAAGAAATGATAGACGAGAAGTTATGGTAAAGTAAAAGAGAGAAGTAATTGTTTATGAAGAAGGAATCACTGGTGAAATACTTTGACGAAACGAAAATTGACGAAGAAAACCAAACGAGACAAGGAAGCAAAACTAATTGGATCATGTGGAAATAGAGAGAACATCAAAACCGGAAACGAACAGGGAGGAATTGGGATCTGCACAAACATTAATATTTCACCCTTTAATATTTAAAAAAAAACTATAATGAACAGAAAATACTATGGCAATTTTAAATATATTCGGATCACCCAATCTAAAAAATTAAAAGACAGTTGTCAAGCTGCGGATGATTTAAATGTGCGTTTGTACATAAAAGGATAATTATTCTTGCCTAACAAGAGCTTGATAAAATCCTTTAGGGGCATTCACTTGTCTCCATTGATAACCATCTGACCCTTAATTTGAACATGAAAATGAATATTAATGCGAAAAGAACAGTTCTAAAAGTGATCAGGATAAAGAGAGACTGGCAATGACATAAACGCTATGCCCAATATTAAGAGAATGCAGGAAACGTTGGTATGAATGGGTTGGAAAAGGAATACATTGTGAACTGTGCAAAAGCCTCGAACTTGATCGGAATGCCTTATAGAATATAAAAAAAAATTATTTTGAATTTTTTAAAAAATCCTTTCATCCCAAGCAAGGAAATAAATCCACAAAGACGCATGGCGTTCCTGAGTTTCAAAGAATATATTCTTTGTAATATTAGGTTGGTGCAAAAATAATGACGTATTAATGTCGTTTTTTGACGTTAAAAAATACGTCAAAAAACGACATTATTACGTCATTATTTTTGCACCAACCTAATATATTCTTAAGGGAGCGAACAATAAAAGAGCAGGAATTAAGAAGACAAAAGATAACGATTGACATTGCCTTTAAACTTTTCAAGATCAAACTTCCCCGGGAACCAATAGACAGGAAGCGAATTCCACAGGTGAGGAATGTGATGGAAGAAACAGTTAGCATAGAACTAATGGCTACATAAACGCAAATTAATAATTCAGTCCAGATAAATAAAATAACATATACAGGGTGCATCCTGTATATATATATACAATTCCCCCAACCAAATTTGGGTGTGGGCGGTTTCCCCACACAAAAATTAGGACACAAGTTTTTATAAATATATGTCCACAAATGATCCGTTTTTCTGTTATTCAGTTCAAAGTTTACTGTAGATGTTCTTAAATGTGCACTCCAAAATATAATCTAAAAATAATTTTACAAACATTGGAACCGGAGTTCTAACACCAAAACAAATGTAAAACGTCCATATAAACACATATTCCAAAGGCCATCGTTGTACCACAACTCAGCAACTCATAGCGAAGGTTCAACATGTCCTACATTTGCTTCTACAGACGCATGCACCAGTCGAATCGTTGACTGGTGGACCCTTTCAAATATTCCCACCCGGAGTCAAATGGTTTCACAGACCCCCATGAAATTTCGATGAAGCGTTTCCGCTTTATTAAGGTCTACTTCTGTTTTTTTTTAGGTGGCCCCATAGATAAAAATTCAAAGGATTGAGGTCGGAGGAACGTGAACTCCATGGAACTGGATTCTCTCCTACCTATCCATCTCATAGTAGATGTCAGCCAGTTCATAGCGAAGTATATGACAAAAATATGCTGCTGCCCCATCATGCATGAACCATATGCGTCTTCGTATTAGCAGGGGTACATCCCCTAGCAGGTCTGGAAGTGTATTCGAAATAAAGTCCCTGTAGATAGCTCCAGTAAGACGTGCTGGATGAGAACATATGGACCTACCAGACAGCCACCTACAATTCCAGCTCACGGTATTGAGTCAAAAACGAGGGTGTCATGTGGCACATGGCCTTTTTAACGTGGGCATTCCCGAGCCATTAGCTACAATTCCAACTCACACATTAATCGTAAACAAATACTGGAGTCTAGTCTGTATTGTCCCGTGAGGATTCCTATCTCCTCACAAATCTTGGTTGTATAAATTTGTTATTCTATCTCTTCCAACTGTTGCCTTCAATATTGAAGAAAAAAACAACGGATCGGCAGTTTGTGCAATAAACCATCGACAAATGTTCTCCCGTGGTGCGTGATCAGAGGGCGAAAGATCCCGCACGCATTGCAAATGACACGGATACAGGATCTGCTCTTGAAGTAGCCTCCACGCCTTACTATGAGATGTACATGTTAGAGCGACTTGATGTGTTCTGATACCTGGATCATCTCCGCCAGCCCCTAGAATACGTCCTTCGTGGTCAGCCGTATGAGCGGATCTCGGCCTTCCTAGATCCATAGTTTATGGTGCCACGGATCTTGTCTCAGCAACGCGACAATAAACAGCAGAAAAGGTTGGGTGTTGAAACGCAATCTGATATAGTCGTGCAGCCTCGCGGCCGTATGTAAAATCAGATCTACCTGTTTACAATATGAATATCCTGAATGCCTCGGTAGATATAGTTGTACGGAAGTTTGTTTATTTTCACATTTAAAGGATCCCCTTTGAACTAATCTGAAACGATTTACGGTGTTTGGACCCCTTTGCTAGTAAATTTGAATCGTAGAATATCAGGCCCTTTATTCCAGATAAATTTCTGTAGGATGTAAAGTTCGGGTAGAAAAAAGAAATGTCATTATATTGTTTATGAAATAAAATTGGATGAGTTCCAAGGTTATTAAAAATTTTAGATGAAATGTTTCGTATTTTTCACTCAAATAGCATCATCTATTTTTTTTTTATAGTTACGGGGACGACAATTGTAATGAAGGGGCTACCATACATTAGCTCAGGGGTCACTTAAAGCTTAAATCCACCCTGTCCACAGGCCTGAGGTTGTAATTCCACCAGCAGTATCATATCGTGTTCTAAAAATAGGCCTTTTCTCGGATGCCTTAAAGAATAAACGCCATGTATTTTAATTTCAGTCTTCTTTCGATTGTTGCCTCATCGATGATATACCATGGAGTGAACATGTGAGCAAATAGGAGATAAAGAGACACATATTTACAATCAGAGAAGTGAGGACTAAAAAGTTGTAACAAACAATGAGGAAAAACAACTTACAGAATTTTAACCTTATTCAGGCATATTAAAAGCAAGAGATGGTCTTCTGCTTTTTCTATGGGTCTAGAGATTTTTGACAAACCCCGAAGAAGAATCTGCTCTGTTATCAATCATGACCTGACATTTCGGCTTCGAACACTTTCGTTACTTAGCTTCTCTGTTTCTTTTCTATAAAAAAAAAACATTCATAGTAATTGTTCTGTATCTGTTTATATTTCTGAGATGAATTGTTATGATTACAGTGAATAAAGACGTTGGTTAGATCCACTGACTAGACCCAAAGAGTTGTGAGTTCATTACCTGGCCACAGCAGTGGTGAACGAAAACTTTGAGAGTTGAGTTAAAGGGAAATAACTGAGACATGAGGAAGAGACGTGGCACGTGGAACTAGAACAATCTACCTCGGTGGACTAAAGAAAGGGTTCGCAATTCGAATCACCTGACGAAGACCGGAGGGTACAAAGGCTGAAACGTTGTGAATATGGCAATGAAGATGAGGATAACAGTCCGAATAATGTAAATAATAAAAGTAATTTTTCTAATGAAGTTTTCTCACGAGCTCCACTTCGTTAATTTAAGTACAGTACTAGATTGGCAGGTAGGTCTCATAATTTCACTGTTGCAGGTGTTAGATGTATCCAGAAGACCTCTGGTAGCTTTACTCCAGCTTCTTTAAGTTTAAATATCAATCATCATTTTCTGTCCCCTTAAATCTTATTAATTTATTATTTTTTCTACTCAATGGCGTTTTCCTAGTTTTCTTTATTCTCAGTAACCTCTTGTGTCTTAGTGGATTTATTGCCTTGCCTGAGACGGAATTATTTGATGAGAACTGTTTACGACTTATCAAACAATTGTGAGTTATTTAAAGCCAAAACATTATTTTGTATTGTAAAATAATTATTTTATTTTTTTCTACTGAATATTGTATCAACACATTTTTTTTCGAATTATCATGAATTTTCCATGAAATGATTAAAAAGAGAGAAAAACAAAGAGAGAATTGGAGGAATAAACGGGTAAACCCCTTAACTAGCATGAGCGACGCGATGGCAAAGCATTGACATAGATTTAAAGGTTACGTAGGTGAACAAAGCAGGAAGATGTGGAAAACCATGAACTATGCCTTGAAAAGACGCAACACACGAAGGAAGAATATATGTTCGGTTTTATGTTTGACCTCGTGTACAAGACATTTTTCCTCAGTTGCATCAAAACATTTTCCTGACCCCAACCAGCATAATCGTACTAAAGAAAAAATAACTGGATATTTTTTAATAATTTTATAAACACAATTAATATTTTCTTCTTTTGAGTTTAATGTTTTAATATATTTTAAATATGGTATCTTTATTTAAGATATATTTTTTTCTGCTATGAGGAAATATTTTCTTACCGGAGGCAATAATTAAAACCAATTCCATTTATGTAGAAGATATTTCTGTTGCTCACTATTAAATAATATCGAACAAACGAATCTTTCGCCTCAACCAGCCTCGTGTCTTTTACTGAATAACCCTTTATAGAACTGCCAGCAAAGGCGTCGTCATTGCATCGACTGTGAACAAGCAATAGCTTCTCTACCATTAAAACAGGAACAAAAGAAACCTTTTCATGATTTTATACGCCGTGAATTTAGTCCCGACAAACAGCTGCCTCCTACAATCAGCCAACTAAACAGCCGATAATGATATCGACTCTACGACAGGTGATAGATTCAGTTTCAGTCTTGCCCTACAATTTGCGCATGCGCATGCCCAGACACGCATGCGCGCCTTTATAACAGTAAGTACGTTTAAATCTTTATTCACCGCTGCTTCCGAATTTCGACTGTTATATAAACAGTGGCAGTAAGAGTTTGAATAAACGCAATCAATTAGAGTGTCAGTAGAAAGGAATTCTGGCTACTTAATATGAAATTCAATTTGACGTCCAAATCAATGAAGTCAAAAGTTGTGCTTTGTTTTCGTGACATACTTCCAGTAAAAAAGATAATTCAAAACTAATACTACTTTAACAACAACAACAACAACAACAACAACAATAATAATAATAATAACTGAAATCGAAATCTCAAAAATGTAGCACATCAGACCATCAACAACACATGTTGTAGTTGGAGTCCTCAGATTGTTTGGGAAAGATTCCAATAGACTAATTGAAGAGATTCCTGATAGCCTATGCATAAAAAATATATAAAAAAAAAACTGTTCTCAGCCCAACACCTTACAAAGGGCTTTATCTATGTAAAATATGTGTGTTGTTGTTTGTTTTTTGTTTTTTTATAATTGCCCAGTGGAAAATTTCATGATGCCATTTCTCATCTTAGGTGTCTTGGCGGGACCCAGAAAGAAACGAGTACACTCCAGAAATCAAAGGACATATATTAATAATAATAATAATAATAATAATAATAGTAATAATAATACGTAGAACTCACACATTACAACACATGAAGGTATTCCTGGTAGCCAATGCCTTAAAGAAATTTAAAAAAAAATTGTACTCAAGTACAGCTCACATATGACGAAGAGCTTTATCTCTGTAAAATGTGTGTGATCATAGTTTTTTTATTTTTTTTTTTATATAAAAGCGACCAGTGGAAAATATCGTGAAGTCATTTCTTACCTTACGTCTCTGGTTGAAACCCGGAAGAAAATACAAAAGTAATCAAAGGAAATAATAATAATAATAATAATAATAATACATTACGAAGGGCTTTATCTATGTAATTTTTTTTGTTTGTTTTGTCAGTGGAAAGTGTCATGACGCCATTTCTAACCTTAGGTCCCTGGGCAGGACCCAGAAAGAAATGTGTAAACGCCAGAAATCAAAGAAAATATTAATAATAATAATAATGGATTTGGGCGGGAGTTGCCCAGACCCCGACATCTCCAGCCTCGATAGAGTGCAAAAACCTCTCTGAGTCCTTGTGGGCGACGAATTATTTAACACCGTCAAATCTCTCACTCTCTTCTCACTCTCTTCTCACTCTCTTCTCTCTCTCTTCTCACTCTCTTTTTCTTCTCACTCTCTTCTCTCACTCTCTTCTCTCTCTCTTCTCTCTCTCTGATCTCACTCTCTTCTCTCACTCTCCTCTCTCTCTCTTCTCTCTCTCTTCTCACTCTCTCTCTCTCTATCTCTCACTCTCTCTCTATATATCTCACTCTCTTCTCACCCTCTTCTCTCTCTATCTCTCACTCTCTTCTCACTCTCTTCTCTCTCTCTCTCTCTCTCTTCTCTCTCTTCTCTCTCTCTCTCTCTCTTTCTCTTCTCTCTCTCTCTCTCTCTCTCCTCTCTTCTCTCTCTCTTCTCTCTCTCCTCTCTCTCCTCTCTCTCTCTCTTCTCACTCTCTTCTCTCACTCTCTTCTCACTCTCTTCTCTCTCTCTCTATCTCTCTCTCTTGTCTCTCTTCTCTCTCTCTATCTCTCTCTCTTGTCTCTCTTCTCTCTCTCTTCTCTCTCTCTCACTCTCTCTCTTCTCTCTCTCTCTCTTCTCACTCTCTTCTCTCTCTCTCACTCTCTCTCTTCTCACTCTCTTCTCACTCTCTTCTCTATCTCTCTCGCTTGTCTCTCTTCTCTCTCTTCTCTCTCTCTTCTCTCTCTTCTCTCTCTCTCAAGCGGGATGTTGCAAGCCTCTCACTGCTTTATCGCTAGTTCCACGGCTAGGACGAATTATATTCCTTGGTCCTGACAGTTCTAACCTTCACGGTTAGGACTCGCCATGCCATTTACATTGGAGCAACCCCCACCCATCCATCCACTCCATATTCCATCGGCGAGGAGTAAGGTTCATTCGAACAGCTTCCCACGAACCATTATTCTGTGGAACCGACGTCTTAAGATAATGTTTCCCCGATCACTACAATATTAATCTGATCAAATCTAGAGTTAACCATCATCTTCTGCCATCCGTTCAAATTGATTCCCAATGTAACCCTCTACCTCGAAAGGCGATCGGGATATGTACAGGGCGACCCTTACTTAAAAAAATAACTATTATTATTATTAATACTGATTGACAGAGCCGTACACAAAATAGGTGAGGCTGCGTTAAAAATATAGGAAAGCCTATATACCCGTCATAAAATACAGTGCGATATGGGTATGCCAGTCACATACGTCTTCTTCTTCTTCTTCTTCTTCTTCTTTTTCTTTTTTTTCTTCTTCTTCTTTTTCTTCTTCTGTTCTTCTTCTTCCTTTTCTTTTTCTTCTTCTTTTCTTCTTCTTATTTTTCTTCTTTTTCTTATTCTTCTTTTTCTTCTTTCTATTCTTCTCCTTTTTCTTCTTCTTCTTTTCTTTTCCTTTTTTCTTTTTCTTCTTTTTTCTTTTCTTTTCTTCTTCTTTTTCTTCTTTCTCTTCTTCTTTTCTTCTTTCTCTTCTTCTTCTTCTTCTTCTTCTTCTTCTTCTTCTTCTTCTTCTCGTGTTGCACATTGAGGTATTGAATGGACAGTCTGTTCTTGAGGCATGGTGTCAACAAGACTCCTCAAAACCCAAGAATTTTTCAGAGAATCCTCTCGTAGTAAATGGTGGCATTTTTTTGGAGGTTTATTGCTCTCAATTCCAATTCTCTATAAGCGCTGTTTCAGTTTTCCAGCTAGTGTTCCAAATACACGCATTACTACAGGAATTTGTTCTAAATTGATGTTCTATAGCTTCTTCACCCTAACCAGATCCTGGTATTTTTCAATCTTTTCAATCTTCTTGATTGCCCAATGGAATCATGAGGATCTGCTACCACGGATCGTTTACAGAGATGCATAATGTTCTAGCCCTTATGGGACATATCCAACTGCTTAAAGTCAGGCAATATGATACTGAACGGGATAATTACTGTAGCCCATCTTAATTCACTAAGACAAAACGTGTTAAGATGTCGAATCAGTTCAGCTCAAAACACATGAGAATGAATGCAATGCATGACGTGTGCTATTATTATTATTACTATTGATATTTTTCTTTTATTTCTGGTGTATACTCATTTCTTTCCGGCTCCCGACCAGAGACCTAAGGTCAGAAAAGGCATCATGACATTATCCACTGAGCAGTTTGGAAAAAAAGAAAAGCACACATAGTTCGCAAAAATGAAGCCCTTCGTAAGATATATTTTTTGTATTTTTTTAAGGCATGGGCTATCAGGAATCTCTTCAATAAGTCTGTTAGAATCTTTTTCCAATCAATCCGAGTGCTCTAACTACAACTGGAATTGGTGATGTCCTTATGTGCCACATTTTTGAGATTTCGATTTCAAAGTCCTTGTATTTTGATTGTTTTTTTTAAACATCTTCAAAGACACACTGCAGTCTGCAAGAACTGCTATATCAATAAGAAGGCAGATTTTGACATTGCGGTCTTTAATCCCGACTTTGCTGTCTCTAATCCCGACTTTGCGGTCTCTAATCTCGATTTTGCGGTCTCTAATCCCGATTTTGTGGTCTCTAATCCCGATTTTTTTTAAACATCTTCTAATCCACATTTTTTCTGCAACAACTCTTATCAAAAGAAGGCACATTTTGACTTTGCGGTCTTTAATCCCGACTTTGCTGTATCAATCCTGACTTTGCAGTCTTTGATTTTGCGGTCTTTAATCCCGACTTTGCTGTCTCTAATCCTGACTTTGCGGTCTCTAATCCCGATTTCTGGGCGATTAGCTTTGTTTATTCTGTCTATGGGAATTGCAAAGTCCCATAAAATCGTTATAGGTCCTATTTTCGTAACTTGGTCTGGGTGGTGTTCATAACAATTTATTCCACTTTCCTTTATTATTATTATTATTATTATTATTATTATTATTATTATTATTTCCTTTGATTTCTGGCGTTTACTTTCCGGGTCCCACCCAGGTACCGAAAGTTAGAAATAGCATCATGACACTTTCCACTGACAAAAAAAAAAAAAAACAAAAAAACAATACATAGATAAAGCCCTTCGTAAAGTGTAGGGCTATACTTGTCAGAACAATCTTTTGTATTTTTTTGATGCATGGGCTTCCAGGAATCCCTTCAGTTAGTCTACTGGAATCTTTTCCAACCAATCCGAGGGCTCTAACTACAACGGGGATTGTTGATGTTCCCATATGCCACATTTTCGAGATTTCTATTTCAAGGTCCTTGTATTTTGACATCTTTTTGAATATATATATATAGTGTAACCCGGATATAAGAGACCCAGATATAAGAGAAACCCGGATATAAGAGAGATTTTCTCTGGTCCCAAATTAGAGCCTGTGTTAATGTATACAAATTAGACCAAATCCGGATATAAGAGAAACCCGGATATAAGAGACTTCTTCTCCGGTCCCGATAACTCTCTTATATCCGGGTTACACTGTATGTATGGTATATATATATATATATATATGTAACACGGATATAAGAGACCCGGATATAAGAGAAACCCGGATATAAGAGAGATTTTCTCTGGTCCCAAATTAGAGCCTGTGTTAATGTATATAAAACAGACCAAACCCGGATATAAGAAAAACCCGGATATAAGAAACTTCTTCTACGGTTCCCGCAACTCTCTTATATCCGGGTTACACTTTATGTGATATTTTGCTTTCCGGGTTCTTATCTGAAGCTGAAGGCTTTTTCAGGTTTATGCTTGTACCATTCCTTTTCACCTGAAAAAAATACTCATACAATTTTAAACATAAAGTCGCTTAAACACATTTCGGCTGACAAACTCGTGTCACCAAAATGTGACAGATGTCCAAAATATGTAGAAATAGAAATCGCAAGAATGTGACCTTTAAAGGAAACTGTAATTCCAATAATAATAAGAGAACTAAGCATGATTAAAAATAATAAAAATCCCACAAGAAACTTATCACTGCCTAAGATATAAAAAGCTGTGTTTATGTGCACTGTTTCAACATATTCAGGACATAAAATCTACCTCAATGAAATATGTTCAATAAGAAACAAAAAAAATCCCTTTACCTCGGGTGTCAGTTAAAAGCTTTGGTAAAGGATCAACCAGACTATTTAGAAAACTGAGGAGGAAAAAGTTTTGGAACTCCGTCAATAAAAATAAAAATAATTAGTGATTGAGAGAAGGACATGTTTCCTTCTGCCATTAGAGTGCCAGGAATACTGATTTTCACGGTTGCCAAATCCTCTCTATTTGAGAGATTTATGCAATATAATCTTTCTTGAACTCTTTAAACATATTTAGACCTGGACCAAACAAATGAAAAGAACGAAAGAAAGAAAGAAAAAGAAAGAAACAAAGAATGAAGAAAAAAGAAAAAGAAAGGTAGAAAGAAAGAACCAAAGAAACGAAAAAAAAAAAACAGGCACAAAGAAAAAAGGAAGAAAAAGGAAACAAAGATAAAAAAAAAAACAAAGAAACAATAAAGAAAAATAACTAAGAAACAAAAAAAGAAAAATTTTCTGGCTTTATCATCTCTCATCTATCCATGAAATTCTTGCAAAAACATTATCAACGCTTGTAAATAATCCCAATAAAATCCCGGAATGGATTACTGACGGTATTACATACCTCATACCAAAAAACAACTGAAACAGATGACTCGAAAAATTGCAGACCGATGACATGTCTCTCCATAACGTATAAGTTGATCACGTCTGTACTGACGAACCGTACTTATTCCTTTTTCGAAACAAACAGAATTCTTCCGCTGGAACAGAAGGGATGCAGAAGAGGTTCATATGGCTGCAAAGATCAACTTCTGATAAATAAAATGATCCTGGAAAATTGCAGGAGACGACGCAGGAATCTAAGTGCAGCGTGGATTGATTATCATAAAGCCTTTGATAGTGTTCCACATTGGATCCTTAAGACTTTGGAAATGTACAAAGCCTCCCCTGTGGTATTAAATTTCCTTAAGCACAGCATGGGAATGTGGAATACCAAACTATACCTTAGTCACACCGGGGGCACTGCCATATCCAACCGTCTGAATATCCGACGTGGAATCTTTCAAGGAGATTCCCTGTCACTTCTGTTTTGTTTATCCTTAATCCCCCTTACATAATAACTGAACAACAGTAGCTATGGTTACAAAATAAATAAGAACATATTCAATCACCTACTCTACATGGATGATCTCAAACTCTTTGGCAAAGACGACAATGATTTGAGAGGTCTCCTCAATATTGTAAAATACTTCAGTGACGACATAGGTATGGACTTTGGATTAAATAAATGTACAAAAGTAACATTCAAGAAAGGTAGAATTACAGAAACACCCTTAATAACTTAGATTTTGTCATAAAGATTAGGCAACTGGAACATGATGAAGCTTATAAAAACCTAGGAATTAGCGAAGGAGATGGCATACAACACCCCCAAATGAAGGAAAAAATAAGAAAAGGGTACTACAGGCGTGTACGTCTGGTACTAAATACTGAGCTAAACTCAAAAAACAGAATATCAGCTATAAACACATTGGCTCTCCCTGTGGTGCAATACAGCTTTAATGTCTTTAACTGGACCATAGCTGAAATTAAGCGAATGGACGTCAAAACGAGAAAGCTTCTTACTTGCTATCGCATGCATCATCCCAAAGCTGATGTTGATCGTCTGTATGTGCCCAGATCCGAAGGAGGCAGAGGATTAGTTCAACTAGAACTGTTCTACAAAACTACAACAATTGGCCTCCAAAGATATTTGGAAACTACAGAAAACTGGAT